AAGCACTGAATATGTAAAATCCTGAGATATAAAACAGCTGAAATTCGCCCTAAAACTAAAGGAGGCACAACTAATAAATGCTAAGAGCCATCTAATTTGAAAATGAAGAATAATATTGAGAGATTTAAAAATTAGAATTAAAAGGTTGAAGGAGAGGAAGGTTTATAAACATGATTGGAATTGCAATCCTATTTATTTATGTGAAACCCAGGGAAACAATGGCTATTTAGGCATTGAATCTAACTGTAGGAAAGGCCACTAAGTTGAGAGCTCCTGTAATTTATGAATACAGGTAGTCCTCAATTAAAGACTGGTCACTTAGCAACTATTCAACTATTTTTTTCAACCAACCCCCCCCCCCCCCTCATATAGGTGATTGCAGGATTCTGTGGTCACACGGCTCTGATTTATGTTTTTTGCCTGTTTCCAATCTTTCCAGGCCATGGGTGGCTGCTAAGCAAACATTGGCTTAGCAGCCATCGCAACAGTGGTGGGTTATGATCGATACGCCACAGTACAGGCGTACCAGTGCCTGCCGGGAGCACCAGGTACCGGTATGGTGCTCCGGAGGGCCTGCCTGCGCTCCTTACCGGTATTTCAAGTTTTCGAGGCTTGAGCATATGGCACGTACGGCACCTGCGCGATGCTCTGCCGAGCAGCTGGAGCATCACGGAAGCGCGGCAGAGTGTTGTTTGCAGTAAGTACGCCATGTGGTGGGCGCCCGACCCCGTTGCACTGTACCGGTTGCAACGGGATCCGGAACCCACCACTGCACCACAAGCAAAATAGTTAAATTGGGTCTGATAATATGGGTGGAGCTCCATTATGGTCCTAAGTCAAGAATTACGTGTATTACAATACATTTATTTAAAAGGAAATTAATAGCTGTAAACTACCATTGTTACAGGGCTGTGCAAAATTCACTTGATTGGGCATGCAGTGTTCCATACACCTTTGGAACTTCCCACTTTTCCAACAGGTAACATCAAACCTCTCTCCAGTCACACAGTTCTGGAGGCAGGTTTGGGAGTTCCCAGAAGTAAATCCTGCAATTTGGAAGCAGTTCAATGACATGTAATTCTGGACAAAACAAATGCTGTATCTGGAATACTTCAAACTTATTCCAGCTCAGAGGGTTTATTTCTGAAAAAGATACACCAACCCAGAAGAGCATGATCTGATGAGGGAATGGAATCTTCCAGATTCTCCAGAATATTCTCATCCTAGATTGGGGCATTTTAGATAAGCCTACTTGATTGTTTTTACAAACAAAAGTGGGGAAAATCCAGTAATTTCAAGAGAAACCCTCTAGAAATGGAAATAAGAAGGAATTATAAACACACAAATTTTGTGCAATGCATTTTCCCTAACCATAGTGAAAACCAATCCTGGATATTTCTCTCCCATAATACACTTGTTGACATAGGAGAGACTCATAGATGTCAGATTAGAAAAGAGTAGGGCCAGAACCACAGTAATGATAGCAATAGTATTAATAAGGCCAGTAATAATGTTGTCTACATAAAGGTATGTAGACAACGGTACAAAGGTATTCGGTTTAGAAGCTATTTCGCCTCATATGCAAATACCAACTACTCAGAAACCACCCCCACACCCTACATACCCCTCCTTCCAGAAGAAACAACAAAAAGAAAAATCAGGATGAAGATAAGAGCAAAGACTAACTGTGCTGGAAAGCAAAGAAAATAGAAAACTGGACAGAGATGAGAAGACCTGAAAAGGAAAGGCGAGGAAAAGAAATTAAATGATGCTTTCAAAGGGACAAAATTCACCAAACACAAAAGTTCCTCACAAGAACAGTTAATATCCAGATCAACCTTCAAAATTCAAGCTTTGTAGCATTAGTCTATCACCGCTTACACCTCAGTTCTTCCTTGGCTTTGACCATCTACTGTCCCCAACAATTTGCCAAATTCACAGGAGGAATTAACATTCCTATTGGCAAAGCTAGCAATGGAATCCCTTGATATTTTTAACAAATGCATTATAAAATGCAAGGGTGCCATGCAGATAGTTGTGCCATAGGCCTGTTCACTGTTTCAGCCCAGTGACATTGTTTCAATGGTACTCCATTCCATGTTGGTGTGCTGTGTTTTTTCCTTCTAAACACAAGCAGGTTCTGGCTATTAAGTATGCTGTCTGTCTTTGGTTTTTCTATGCATTTTTTTTTATTTCCGTTAGTTTCAAGGTTTCTTTAAGCATACAGTTAACCCTTTATTTCTCAGTGCCCTTATTGGGGCTAATAAAAAAGTTCTTTTCTAAATTTATTATTAGGAAGAGTTCCCCCATCTTTCCCCCACGCCACATTATATCAATTTTCCATTGTGGACTCTTCTATTTAAAAGTGCCCTGACTAAGAAAAATCTAAGACTGGGCAACCAGCCAACATCTGGTAATTCCCACAAGTGAAATCTTGAAAGAGTGAACTCGTATAGTAAATCTGAAAACAATTTGGCAGGATAAAAAGTTTGTATAAATGTTAATAGTTTTGAATTCAACAGATCTTGCAACTAGACAGTTATGCTGCATGACCTTTCTAGCATATGAATAACAGAAAAGATTTTAATTATAACTTCATTTTCTAACGGAGCTTGTGTTCTTAGGGTTTTTTTAAATCAATTTTTAGTTAAAACCTAACTACAGCATAGGCCATTTTAAGGGTTCCAAACAGAGATGGACACAAAGGACCTCCACTTAAAAGGCCTTGAAATAAAACAACAAATTGTGACTTGATGGTTACTCTTGGTATAAATTTGGGCTTTATCATCACACTAGAGATAATTTGCAGCAGAGAATTTCTATGTGCTTCCTAGTATCTGCCACCTCTGTCAAGGTAGGCTGGGTGTGTATCAGTGGTCAGATAAGACCGATACGCCCTGGTACGGGCGTACTGGTGCCTTCTGGGAGCACCAGGTACTGTTCTGTTCCGGTGCTCCGGAGGGCCTCCCTGCCCTCTCTCCTTACCACTATTTCAGCCGATTGGGGCATTTGCACACGTGCACGGAGCATACAGCGCCTGTGCAATGCTCCACCGAGCAGCTGGAGCATCACGGGAAGTGGGTATGCATGCGCGCACTGCATGCATGCTGCATGCGTGCACATGGTGGGCACCAGGCCCCGTTGCACCGGGATCCAGAACCCACCACTGGTGCGTATACATCCTCACATAGCACTATCCTTACAAAAATAACTCAAAGCAATTTACAAATAAGCTGGACAATATCATAACTTAAAATCATAACTTAAAAAAAAATCAACCTGTCCATGTAAAATAAAAGAGATGGGGATACAAAAATATCATCCAACACATAGGAGGCTTGAATGTAGGTTAATGTGAGTATCTTCAAATGTCAAAATTCAAAGGAGAAGTCGAGATTCTCATTCATCCAAGTCATAGTTGTCTCAGTGCTTTTTCAAAAGACAACCAAACACTTTTCTTAAAGAAGAATTTTTGCTTCTCATCCAAGAAGCTTCATGGATCACTCACTCCACCCCTACCATCCTGCCAGAACCAATGGAGTTTGGATGAGACCAAAATGTCTTCCTCAAAAGAAAAAAAATCCAGTTGCCTTTTGAAAGAGCCACCTTTGAGATTCAGGAACTTTCAGGTGGCCTGCTTATGACAACCACAAGGTGGCAGTCTAGATTGGATGCAGACAGGAAACAGAAAAAGGAGCATGCACCATTATCCTCTGCATCTTACAGTGCCTGTCTTTCTCTAAAAACTAGAATGGTTCTGTAAATGCTGGTGGCTGTCATAGCTAGAGAAGCTAGTGACTACACAGCCATCCTATAAAAAGGGCAGGAGCCTGCATTACCTGCTCACTGAAAACTTTGTTTTGATATAGCAAAATCCTAAAAAAAAAAAGCGTGCACAAATGGTCTATTGTAGAGCCGATAATCATAGCTTTAAACCGAGCTTACACATTTGGGGTTTTAAACAGCATTCACAATTAGGAGCTTGATGGGTTGATTAAGTCAAAGCATATGAAATACAAATAACTTGTGTAGAACACGACAGGGGAAACCTTTATCTACACTGCTCAAAAAAGTAAAGGGAACACTTAATCAACACAATGTAACTCCAAGTCAATCACACTTCTGTGAAATCAAACTGTCCACTTAGGT